CCAATGGGGCACATTTAGATTCAACCATGAAATTCTAGCAAAGGTAGTCAGTTACCATTCTTGTTGTGTTTATGCAAACATCAGGACAGTAAATAAATTAATCTTGATTTGGCTTTTTGATAGCCATGGAGGGATTTTAAGAAGAAAAATTCTATTTCAATAGAAGTTGTTAAAGCTAAAATGGTTTCTTTCCCTTCCACCGGACCATTTGTTAAGCTTACAGGGATAGTTCAGTTGATAGTAATGTGTGCCCAGTACGGGCCTCTAGCAATGGTGAAATAGAAATGCAGTCCATCTCATGATTGAGCCAGAAGTTCCAAGACAAAGGGGGTAATGAAAGGGCAAAGACTACGCCCTCCATCTTACCCTGGGTCCTCCATTTTTGGGCAGAGCCATGTGCTCGGCAAGGTTTCTTCCCGGAAGCCCAAGCCTCTGCTAGCCACACCCAGGATTTCTCTAAACCAACCAATGACAATCAAGGGAAGTGCATGCCATCGATATGACCACATCCTGTGTAACGAGACACCGACTTGCGCCTGGCCAATCAGCAGGGCCCACGGTCCCCTCTCCTCCCCTTACTCCACCCCCCTATAAAACTCCTCTTCACATCGGGCTAGCCCTCTCTCTGCCACCTGCTGCTGTGTCAGTAAGGAGGGTAGGGGAGCCAGACCCGAGTTTGAATAAAAGACTCTTTGCTTTTGTATCGGACTCGCTGGCTCCCTGGTGGGCTCTTGGGAATCTTGAAATCTGGGCATAACACCCATGTTTCACCATTTTCAGCAATGCTGGCATGTATGACCCTAGACATACATATCCTCCCACTTGAGTGATTGTCAGAAGAGAGTTTTCAGTTGAGGCAATGGATATGAGACTTACAGCCCATTCCTGGGTTGGCCAATCAAAGCCATGTTTGGCTTGGGGAAATGCCATGGAAATCAGCAGCCTCCTGTGTCAGCCAGAGGTGCCCAAGGGCTTCCTCTAGAGCTGCCGCAGCTACGTTTCTGGGAACCACTGACGCTCCAGGGACGACGTCTAAGGCGTCTACGATGTCTTCTCACGCCCAGGCCTTTTCTCCCACCTCTGCATCGTCAGCAGAGCCCACGCCCGGAGAGCCACCCGGCCTTGCCCAGTGCGCAGGGCCCTGCTCTCCAGGCCACAGCTCCCCCTGTTCCTTCTGTGCTTGGCACTGAGGGGTCCACTTTCTCCCCTGAGGGAACTAGTTTATTCTCCTTGGGAATGTTTTTAATTTGTTATATTAGACTCCACATTTATAGTGTCTGTAAACAGAGCTAAAAGCCCTCTAGGGTCCATTTCCTGCATGGAAGGATTGTCCTACTCCCCTCTCTCCCTGTTTCTACCTAGAAATCCCTCAAATACACCCTGTTAGTGTTCATTTCTTACAGACACATCTCAACTCATTAACCAGCTGAGTGCCCACATCATGCCAGGGGATCCTTAGAAGGATCCTGAAAGATAGGTGTTGTTATCATAGTTTATCCAGGAGGAAATTACAGTGAAAAGGCCTAAAGGTCACAGAGGTAAGGAGTCGTAAAGCTAGTGTTGAAACCAGGCCCCACGTCCAAGTCCAGGCTGCTTTCCCGTGTTAGCAAAAATATAATTAGCCAAAGGTGGGAAACCCAGGAGGCTGTTCTCTTCTGTGCTGGCTCAAAAAGTCTCAGCAAACCCCATGGGCTCTCAAGACCCCTCTGAAGTCCCTGCCCAGCCTTCCTACGCTGCCCCAGTGGCCGGCCCTCCCCTGAGGACCCCTCCTGCGAAACCTGAATACCTCCACGTCCCTCAGAGGTCTTGCTCCTCAAAGGCATCGTCTCTCCTTTGAGGTTCCCAGTCCCAGCCAGGAGTGATTGGCAAAGGGGCAGTGGTGGCTTTCAAGGGGATGGGCCCTGTGCTCGCCCAGCATTTCTCAGACACGTGTGCAGGCTGAGACTGTTAGCGCGAAGCTAAGACATCTGCCAGCCTCACTGAGCGTCAGCTGTGTGTCCGGCCTCACTGGGCGTCAGCTGTGTGTCCGGCCTATCACGAGACGCAGTGGCAGGGGCGGGTTCTGCCCCCTTTGTCTTTCATTATTCATCCCAAAGAGTTGGCCATCCTTTACTTTTTGTTGTTGTTGTTAATCCTCATCCGAAGATATTTTTTCCATTGATTTTTAGAGAGAGTGGAAGGAAGGGGGTGAAGGGGAGAGAGAGAGAGAGAGAGAGAGAAAGAGAGAGAATGCATATATCTCGACTGGGGCGAGGGATCAAATCTGCAGCCCAGGAGCGTGCCCTTGACCGAGAATCGAACTTGAGACCCTTCGGTGAGTGGGAGGACGCTCTAACCATTGAGCAACACCAACCAGGGCAGCCACCCCTTACTTTTGTTTTCTCATATATACATTATATATTTTTTCTGATTAAATGTTTACAGATATGAAAAATAAAAAAGCCCCAAATATCACCAAAATATGTGATAAGAAAGTCCTCATAATTTGTCCATTCATCCCACCCTCTCAGAAAATTATTAGTAACCATTTGGCATTTTAAAAACACACACACACGCCAAAACCGGTTTGGCTCAATGGATAGAGCATCGGCCTGCGGACTCAAGGGTCCCGGGTTCGACTGCGGTCAAGGGCATGTACCTTGGTTGTGGGCACATCCCCAGTAGGGAGTGTGCAGGAGGCAGCTGATCGATGTTTCTCTCTCATCCATGTTTCTAACTCTCCATCCCTCTCCCTTCCTCTCTGTAAAAAAAAAAAAACCAATAAAATATATTTTTTAAAAAACCAAAAACACACACATATTTAATGGACTTGATTTTTTTAGAGCAATTTTTAGATGCACAGCAAAATTGAGCAGAAGGTACAGAGGTTTCCCATATACTCTCTGCCCATCCCAGGCACAGGCTCCACTATCACCATCTCCTCAGGTGGGACATTTGCTACACTGCAAAGGGATGAGGCGATGGCTCTCAATGAACTTCACTTTGCCACACTCACGTAACCGTGCAGTCCCCTCCCGTATTGCATCTGGACCGGCTGGGACCTGCCAGTGGAGATGGTGCTGTGCCCATTCTCGGCCTTACCATTCAGAGGAATGGTGGCTTCCATTTCCTTTTTTCTTGGAACTCTCCTTGGAAATGGGCTGTCAAGCTGTGAGAAAGCCCACAGCCACGTGGAAAGGCCCCCCAGAGCGGAGAAGCCCTAACCTACGATGGGGAAGGAGAGAGAAACTCGGTCATTCTTGCACCACTGGCTTGAGCACAGCCTGCCATGTGACTGCCGCTGCGCGAGACACAGCAAGCAAGCCCATCAGAGTTGCCCAGTTGAGTCCAGTCAACCCGCAGAATGTACGGTAATAGCAGGGTGTTGTTGGGAGTCATTGAGTTTTGGGCTTGGAGATCACTAGGCTGTGAGGGGAGTGACGCAAAGAGACCCCGTGTCCTGGATATTCTCCCGGCAGCGAGAGAAACAGGAGAACGTGGCAGATACACAGCGGAGCAAGAAGCGAAGTTTCTGTAGCACAAAGGGCAGTTTCCCTCAACAGGCATTCAGCTAAAAAGACAGCCCTTCTGCTTGTTTTCCCTGGTCAGCTACATTTTTCAAGAGCCTCATGCTATGCAGCTTAAGTAAGTTCTTTAGGTCAAAATTCAATGTATTAAATAACAAAGACTG